ATATATGTACATCTATATATATGGATATATGGATATATATGTATATGTATATGGATTATATATCGATATATATATATATATATATATACATAGCTGCTGGTGCAATTTCATACATGTATGATGATCTGATATGTGTTGATATTCGCACCTCAACGGATGCTAGAGTGGAACAGACGGGTATGTATAGTTGTTGTCGATCCGTAATGTGCTCTGGTGACTTAGATTTTTCTGAGTACGGGTCGGGTAAGTCTTGTTGGTGTTGATGTTCGACATCGCTAGTGTATTGTCAGTCTACTCTCAGATTGGCTTTTCTCTGTATACTGGCTCATATGGGACAATATATCCCCCCTATGTAGCGCTATATATTTACTTTCTTCATTACGTTCACGATAAACATTGATACAGATATTCTCGGATTCAGACAGTGGCAGTGACTGGAACGATAGTCCGTCGAGGCCTGCGGCGAACAGACGTAGTCGCAGCCGCAGCCGTAGTCACGGCCGGAGCAGAAGCGAATCAGGTATGTGTACGTGAAAGTACAGTTGTAAGTTTGACGCTTGATATGTACCGGGTTTATTGGTAGGTGTTGAACTTAGAAGCTGTTGTAGGCGATGAGAAGCCACATGGAGAGTGTATCTATCTTTACCCACACCGCGTATTTGTTTGATTACTTAGAATGTTTTTGCAGGTTCGAGGCATTCATATTTGCTATGCCACAATCCTATCAATATTCCACTTTGCACGCCTTGGTTTGCATCACTGTAGCCATACAAGAACGCCCTCCTATGAATGTCGAAATTCCTCGTGTTACAAACTCGATAGATGACAACGTATCACAGCTGGATATTTCTCTCATGTGCATGCGTCTTTGATTTAACACCTGGCGTTGCTGTGGAGTGCAATTAAATTCATCACCATATATGAATGGTTATGAGTTCGCTCATCGGTATTAATTTGGATGGCTGGTCTGGTTTCCTTATGTGGATTGTATTCTGTAATAGCTAGGCTGTGCTTGAAGAATTAGGGAGGATTCTGATATATTCATCTTAAATGTGGACAGGACCGTATGCAAGGTGATAGCCAAGGCAATATCTTATTTCCCTAAATTGTACAATTTGTCATTCAGCTCACAAGAAATTAGGTTTTGATACTTCTTTTCTTTACTAATAGCCATTTTAATATAGCGTAGAAAGTAAGTTCATAATAGTAACACATCTCCATACACGTTTTATCGCACCCAATCAGATTCGAGTCTTTCAGATAGTGATTCCGAGCTCTCGGACGGCGGCAATGGGATCTACAAAGATGAAAAGGAGAGGTGAGATGTGTGCAACCTTACATTCATCTTCACACTCCAGCTAAGCGGTTGATATGGTAACAAGTGGGCTGGCCAGTTTTACACTACAGTTGTCGGTGAGGGTGTGCTGCCTAGTATGTTTGGGGAGACTATGAATAACGTCCAGGTGGCGTGTGCTATATGTGCTTCAACCGGTTCCTTGGTAGTGCGTCTCGTGCACACATACATGCCACGTGTGTTCATACGCACAGAGTGGTCTCGATGGAATGCCGTATTGTATTGTGTTGGCGTTTCTACTTCGTTATACTAGCCGTGGGTGCGTGGGTGTCCACACACGGCGCTTGTAGTTTTATGTTTTAGATTTTACACAGGCGAATGGTGAATACAATGGCTGAGTGGCAGAGAGAAATTCAGATTTCATTGTACACCTGTGCGTGCACCTTGTATCCTGTACAGGTGCATGTGTACATGTGCGGGCGTGTGTTTACTAGTTGCCCGGACTCCCGCCACGTAGTCAATTGGTGGAGACATATATATATATATATATATATATAAATATATATTTATTATTTATATATG